TGAGAGACACGGAAATTTTGTGTTCGAGTTGACCCGAACCCGAACCAGGTAGTGTTCGAGTTAGAGTTTTCGAGCCGTTTCACAAATCGGGTCAGATGCGGGTTGACCCGGTTTAACCCGCTGACTGAACTGCCCGCATCTGCCCGTGGTAAATCCCGTTCCTGCCTCGCTTGCCCGCCGCTGCCCGGTCAACCCAGGAAAATCCCACCCTGCCCCGCTGCCCTGCCCGGCTTGCCGCCATTGCCCCTTCACGTGAAATTTGAAAATAGGCAGGGCGGCAGCAGGCTGCACGCCTTCATCGCTGCATGTCCCAAGGAGGACCCGAGCCCGTGTCCAGGCTCGCCGGCTACCGCGTCTAGGTCAGCTCCCACGTGACAACATGAGGGCATGCGGCTTGCTAGCTACCACGTCCAGGCCAACGCCCGCGTCCAAGCCGCGCATGTTGGCACGATGGCACCCATTTTTGGGTCATGTCGGGTTGACCCGAACCCGAAGCGGGTCAGGTTCAGGTCCGAAAAACTGACCAGTTTGTAAAAACGGGTCGGGTTCGGGTTGACCTGAACAGTATCGGGTCAATTTCGGGTTCGACCCGAGCTCGACCCGTGACCCTAAATTGACACCCCTACTAAAAACTATGAGTTTGAACCAAGCCTAACTTGCTTTAGCTCGACTTAATGATACCCTTAACTCAAGGCTAATCAAATGTTAACTATCACCCGTCTTCATTATCATTCATTCTCCCCACTCTCACACTAGATTGTTAACCCCATAAATCTTTTTTTTTTAATCTCCTCAACTTATTATGTTCCACCATAAAGATTTAGAGCTCTTGCGCCAACCTTTGATCCAACTTATTTTTGAATGCGCCCTTTCTTTCACCTACTAGTCATGGACTTGCCCATTCGTGTCATCAGCCCCTATCAAATTGTAATCATGAAAAATTAATTCATCCTTTGATATTCAACTATTATAACTTATCTTTATAATTTTGGAAAGGCAATTGCCTAGTTCCTAGTGCCTCAGGTCATGGTGCTCATGTAAGCAATAAATTAGAAATGACACAAGCTTGATAGGTTTGAGAAGTAAAATTGCTCTGCCTTGCCTTACTTGAGAGTGAACCCAGTTTAACAACATTAATTTTATTAGTTGGTATAAGAATCTCAATTGAAATTAATGGGTCACTATGCATGGTAGGATTTGATCTCAAATAAGGGAATTGAAGCCATGAGACAAAATTGAGCCGCATGTATGAGCACAAATCCATCAGGCAGGACCGCATGAAAGACCCACTCACCATTTGAGAGCGCCCAGTCACCCTTTTGAATTTTTGTTATAGGGCTAAGTAGTTCAGGGCATACAGAAAATATTACTTAAGATTGTAAAGTATGACTCATCATTAAACCTATTATTATTACTCAGTACATTTGCTTTCATCATTCTATACATCATTATTTCTTCATTATCGGAATGTAATTGTGCATCATATATAGTACTCGAACACCTAACTTAAAGATTCAAATGACTTGTAAAAAGCAATAAATGCTCCCCCAACTCTCAGCCGCCTCCCACATACAATTCTTTTTAAGTCATAACCCTAATCAGCTAATCGTTTGTTGTCTGGGAAGAATAAAAACTACTAAAATTGTCACAAGAAATACTCCCTCAATTCCCACTTCAACTCCCACTCCATGCTGGGTGAATGCCGTACAAATATACAAGCAACACCTCATTCACTGCCCAAAAAGTGTTGGATGCACTAAAAAACTTTTTCACCATGCTTCCAAATCAAATCAGTTGGGAATTTCGCAATTTCAATTATCACAAGAGTTGAGATGAAATCGTGCCACTTCAGCTTTTCAATTTTTGATAGAAATGATGAAAATTACATAAATCAGACATGCTTTATTCATGTATAAGATCAACATTTTTTTGATATTTAAGAAGAAAAGAAAAATACTTGGCATGGAGAGCAACTTATTGGGCAATATTAATAGAATAACTGCAAGCATTAAAAGTCATACAAGAGAAATATTTAACAAAAAAGTTTTTAAAGCTGCATAATATGAGGAACTCACAACGAATGGCCATGTCAGGACATTCTCAGCTGAAATTGTCTAAATAAAAGGCTCTTCAAACGCAGACTGTTTTGCAAGTGGGATCATTACAGACACTGCTTATCAAGAGAAATTGATCAGCAATTTGAAGAAAATAATAAATTTTGTGATTCTTATATTCAAATACTCCTTATTTATCATCTTCATATAATTTTAAGTTTATATTCTCATAGCTTCTTCAGCATAGCGCATTTGCTAGTGAAGCAAGTCTAAAAATGCCACCTAATAGCCATGATGCTACTGTTTACTTCAAGATTCAGCTTGGATTACAATATCAATCCATTCAATTTATTTTTCCCCATACTGTTATATGTTTGCTTCTGCAATCTACAGTAACAATGATAATAGAATAAACTCACTCATCTCTTTCCATAACTTCCAAATATAATGCAAATAAATTTGTGGCTTCTTAAATAAGCGAGTCACTGGTTTACGCACTATCAATTCCATAGACATCACGCCAGAAACTATGCTGTCACAGTATCTTTCACTGCGAGTAACAGGAACCATATACAGCTGCAAGAAAAGAAGAGTATTTAGCATAAAAATCATCTACCATAATTGCCATTTAATAGGATAAAAAAATTCTCTGAATGTGAGTAGTTGGCAGATTGCAAGTACAAATTTACCTACATCAGACTGTACATACAAAGAAAGAAATAAATATTCAGTAGCAAAACATTACTGTTGCATGAGAAGGAAGGATCAACCCTCGTTTGAGCAAATTATCCCTTGCAAAAATCACACTGCTCAGCATGCTCTAAATATGCAAAAATATAGCATTAGAGTTTCAAGCATTTATAGGGACAAGAATTCCGAAGTATTGCATTGATCATCTCAGTTAAATGACAGTCCACTATATTCTTATTAGAAGAATTGAAGTGCACCTCATACAGAAGCATATATCCCATCCATTCAGAAATTATGACGTCTACCTTCTCCTGGATGCTAACTTTCTGCAATAAGATACTTAATGAGATCTAAACATTGTTTACAAGTGTCAAATTTGTCTCACAAACAAAGGACGTCTAGAAATAACTAAGAGCAAGGATGAAAATTTCATAGATGAAAATCACCGAATGAAGGAGGATAAAAAGGTAACTTCAATTCCAATATATTAAAAAATAGATGAAAGAGATTTAACATGAATGCTCAAAAAGAAAAGTTTATACAATTAAGGAAGAAAATAAAAAAAGTGAAATATATAAATTAACGAAGACATATTTACTTCTTTCATGTTACATAAAGTTGAATACTAGCCCAACAAAAGCAGGCTAAATTCATAGATCCAGAGCATTGAACTGATAAGCAAAGAAAGATTGAGATGTTCCCTAAAATTAATCAAGCCTGAACTTTTGAATAGTTGCCCTGGAAAAAGTGAGCATGTTGATTCAGTTTGACTAACTTTATTGAGAGGGTTTAAAAGGGTAGATTGCCTTACAATTGTCAAGAGACTTCCCCTTTCAAATAGCCAAGGTTAATATATGAGGAATCAAGGTTTCTCATAAGTGCAAGCCCCCATGATCAATTACATTGTCACATAAACAAAGAATACCCTTGATCAGAGACATTTATTGTGTTCTAGGTGAAAATTGTCGACATAGAAAGGATGTAGTCAATCAAAATCTCATGAATTTATCATCTTAGATTTCCTGATGAACCTGGCTTACAAAAGTAAAATGATTTCATATGCTAACTTCCACGGAAAATAATATGGATCAATGAGTTGCCTCTACTAAGATATCACAAACATGCTTGAGGTAGCAATACACCAAAGGAGGAATCCTTTCATAATATTTCCAAAATTCTATTTGATTGTAAAGGCTTCAAGGCATAAAATATTGCCAATCATGGTTCAAATGTACTAGGCATGACTGACAAGATACATCAAATGGATTATTCATGCTGAAGTAACTTAAAGGCACATAGTATGCCAATAGTATTTATGATATACTAAAAATTGATTGATGATAGCTTTACATGCAAGGAAAAATTAATTTAGTCATCCAAGAGTAACATCCAACTAACCTTGAAAGGGGAAAGTCTTAAGCATACTTTTTTAAAAGAATTCATATTGTGAAGGCGCTCTTCATAATGAAGTTAATAGTCCAAATGGAACATTTAAGTCGATAGGTATCACTTAAGGATCAATCCCTTGCTATGTGAGGCAGTAAAAAAATACATGGTTGTAGAATTTGCTTTGCATCTACAAATTGCCCTAAAAGAAAAGCTGTAAGTTATGCTCGAGGTCCGGACTTGATTTAGCTCATTTAAAAGAGGTACCTTCAAAATAGTTTGGGATGGAGATTTGCTTAGTGAATGTAAAATTCACCCAAGCAAGCAATATTAAGGATTGGTAGATCAATGCCAGCTCATTTGGTTGGACTTACAAGCTTGATACTCAGCCACCCACCCGATTGCTTGAGCGGACATCTTAACTCAGTGCTAGTCCAATTGAGAGAACTTGATGACCACATGTAGGAGCAATTCAAATTTGATTTAAAATGCTAAAAGGAAGGCCCATTTGATTTGACAGTAGGGAAAACAAAATAAACCTTCCCAAAATTTGATTTGATTGAATATATCCTCAAATAACTAATTTGAGGTAAATCGACTAAGCACTAGGCTTTGGAACCATGAAAGCTTGGTTGATTGGGCTTAGTAATGTCGAAACTTAGCTAATCATTGGGGGGACTAATTAGCTATGAGCTAGCCCATTTTAGTTTATGTCCTTGTATTTACATGTAAAGTTTGCCTTATTAAAAGGGTCTATGTTGGTTCAAATTTGCCTCTAGTAGACGGTGGCTTTTGTCATTAATATGTTTTGAAGATTTCTATACCACATTAATTTATACAAATCTAATCTACAATGTCGGGCCATATAATTTTGGAAGATTGACAAGGCTCAATGTTATATTGATTAAGAGAAAGCATATCATAAGTTCCAAGAGAAATGTAATGGAGAGTTCTACATAAGAAAAGGGTTAATAATGCTTATATTCAAGTCATTAGAGATATGTATACAGGAGTTGATACTAATGTTCAAACACAAGGTGGGTTGACTAAGTATTTTCCTATTTCAGTTGGATTACATCAAGGATCAGGCCGATCAGCCTTAAGCCCATATCTTTTTGTTTTAGTCACGGATGTTCTCACTAGACATTTGCAAGAGGTTGCACCCTAATTTATGCTTTTTGTTGATAATTTTCTTCTTCTTGATAAGACTAGAGAGGGAGTTGAAGGTAAACTTGAATTATAGACATTAACCTTAGAGACTAAAGGCTTTCGTTTGAGTAGATCTAAAACTGAATATATGTAGTGTAATTTTAGTAGTAATAGACCTAGTAAGGGGATTTTGACTTTGGGGAGAGCAAGTCATTGATAAGAGTACACATTTTAGATATCTAATAGGAAGTACTTATAGATCTCAAGTATCTCCTATCAATCTTCAAAAAACAACGAGCGTTCTCTACCAAAATCCTCACAAAACCACAAAAACAATAGATAATTTGTATTACTTGATGAAAGGGAAACGAAAAATAGCAAGATACAATTGATCCTCTATTCGAGAGGAGGATTGATCTCTCCCAAATCTCTATATGCCACTAGAGCCCAAACAAAAACCTAAATCTAGGAGATCTCAAATTTCAGCCAAATTCAAAATGCCCTAACCCCAGGAAAACAAACTATTTAATGCATACAAATCAAATAGAAACCCATAAACAGTCCCTACATTAAAATTTCCCTCTCGAAACCCTAAAAAAATCCTTCCTAAATGGCTTCACTTGGGTGTTTGGACCGCCCATTCTCCGCAGGAGGCGAAGATCCCGCCTTTGTTGAGTTGGGCTGGTCCCGTGCGGACCGGTTGGACATGCCAAGTGGACTGGTCTAATAATATTCTCCTCCCAAAGATCCACATTGTCCACAAGGTGGAAAGATGACACCCTCCATTCCTGCTTCATTACAAATGGCAAGAACGTGAAGATTTCGGTCCTTACACTTGTGCCCCAGCGTATACCTCTCATCATATCTGAAACAAAGCCCCTTCGCCCTCTTCTCCTGTAATTCTATCTCTATGATCTTCTTGAAGCTGTCCCCAGGTCTTCCTCCTGCATTCTTTTTCTTCAAAATCCCTCGAAGAGTATCTAGTGTTGGCTCCTTAAAATTCAATAAGGTGTTAGTCATCCTATACGAGCCTCCTGAGCTGCCACCTCCCATCTCTCCCTCCAGGTGCCTCTGATCTTCTACCAATTGAGCTAGCTCTATATCCTCTCCCAAATCACGAGGCCTCATTACTCTAACCGCTGCTCAAATCTCTAGTGTCAATCCCTTCATGAAGTTTCCTTCTAGCACTGTCTCAGAAAGTCGGTCCAATCGACTAGCAAAGTACTCGAATCTCTCCCTATACTCTGTCACTGAACCCTCCTGTGTCAAGGCAAAGAACTACTTGTAGAAGTCTCCTCCCATGCCAGTTAGATAACATTCTACTAAACAATCCTTGAACTCTCTCCAACTTCGTATGGATCATCGCATGTCCCTCCACTGATACAAAGACAAAGCCTTCCCTTCTAAACATAGGCCCGTCATCGTCAGTCTCTCCTCCTCTATCAGCCCATTGACGATGAAATATCTTCCTACCTTATAGATCCACACGTGTGCATCCTCCCCTTTAAAGATTGACATCTTTAGTTTCCTCAACCTCGAGTCACACCCGTTTCCCCTAAATCCTCCATAACCACCCATTCCTCAAAGCAGAGCTGCTCCCCATTTGTCCCGATCATCCCTCCGGCGATCATACCCAAACCATTCATCAAAATCTCTTCTTCTTTCAAAATCAGCACCCCGACGATTGAAATCATCCCCTCTTCTTACAAATTCAGCACCCCTTCTTGCGTAGCCAATGCTCATCTCCTCCCTAGAAAGTAGTTTTGGAGGAGGCATTCTATCTTCTCCCTCCAGAATCTCCACTTCTGGCTTTTCCCTTCCTCTAGACGTGTTAGGGTTCCCATCTCTTCCATGGCCGCTGGAAGTTTCCTTTGTTTTTGATGTCACCCTTAGAGATAGGATATGAAATTATCATATATGTGAAAAGGTTGGAGTAGCTCGAATGGAAGATAATATTAGAGAGAGTCGTCTTAAAGGGTTCAATCACATAAAACAATGGTCTTCTGATGACCTTGTTAGGAAAGTAGATGTATAAGATTTGACTTATGTTAAAAAAAGGTAGAGATAGACCTAAAAAGACTTGGTTAGAAAATATTAAAAAGGACCTTCTTTATTAGATTTAGATGAGAATTTGACTCTTATCAGGACACAATGGAGAAAAAAGATTCATGTAGCTGAGCACAGTGGGATAAAGGCTTGTTGTTGTCGTTGTTGTTGTATTTGACGAGGCTCAAGGTTCATATTGTTGTTATGAACTCATCTAAGATTGAGTTTAACAAATTTTGCTATAGTAATAACATAAATAAGAACTTAACTTATAGGTTGACAAATTTAAGTAAACAATGAGCCAGTGAAAGACCCATAATGTGCATCCATTCGGGATATGAATGATGCAATTCTATCCATGCAAACTAATTTGACTAAGTATGCAAACATTTTGGTTGTGTGATTTTGCAAGTTGTTCAATTCTCTAAATTTAGAGAGATGTCAAGGATAATTTCAATCAATCTACTCATTATGAGATTTAAAACATGAACCATGAATGCTCACGAAACACCCCACTACTTATAAGCTTTATAAATTAATTAAAACACATACTTAGACATTTAGCAAAATGAGAGAAAATGACATGTAGCGATGCAAACCTTCTATATCTTTATGTTAGTTTTGGCATAACTTAAGATTTGCTAAGTAATGTATGCTACATAATGTGAAACCTTACACATTGTAATTCAAAATTTTATAAAATGACATCATCTAGCCTAATAATGGTTTGATCATAGGTAATGGA